CTGCTAAGGTTTTATTCAGCCCAGGTCCACCTGCCTAGGAATGGTCCCACCCAGTCTCTGAACCAGACCCAGCCTCATGCTTGCAGCCACACAACTTCCAGTACAACAGATCATGCTGAACACCCCTGGCAAGGGACAGATTTGAGGGTCCCTAACCCCAAGACTGTCACTCTGCCCAGAATACAGACTCGAACCTCTTTCTAGACCTCTCGTGTAAGAAGGGCAGGGCAGATGGGTGTACAGGAGTGACAGCTCTGCTCTACTTCCATTTCCACTCACTTGAGTCCCTTGTCTGTTGACACCTGAGATTAAGGCCTTCTGCAGGTACACGCCCGAGTCCCTCCCTGATCAGCTTCCTCCATAAAGTCATATCTAGATTTTGAGGGTGAGAACGGGGTGAAGGAAGAACATTTTAAAGAGAGATTGGAGGCATGCAGTCACCAACGTGACATCTATCCCATTGTCAGCTTGGAAGCGTGTTTTGGTTGTTGTTTTGCCTCCTTTGGGGGTGGTGAGGTTTTATTTTGTAGCATCTCGGTATAGGTAGGCTTTGATCAAACAAAGATCTGAGTTATAAAAACATGCCTTATCAATAGATAAAAGTGTAGTGTTGTCGAGCCTGCAAATTTCCACCAGGGGACGCTGCCGAGAAGATACGGAAGTGGAAAGGGTTTGTGTCTAATTTAGCAAAAAGCTTGCTAATCGCCAGAGTAGTTTTAACTCTAAATCCTTTCTTTGCCAGGGAGACTACCCGTTTAGCAAACCTTGGGTTTCATAACTGGAGACAGGATTTACAAGTATTTCCATATTGCTATGGCTTTGCGTTGACCCAGCTTCCTTGCAGGCAGGATGCTAGCCCCCCCTCCTGGCCTCGAAGTTCATTGGTTCACCCAATAGCCGCTCACCCCGCTTTCTCGTCGGCACAGCCGCATAAAACTACAATTCCCAGGCTCCCTTGCTGCTGGGGTTAGGATCTTTGGTTTCTGTTCAGCTGCTGTTGATTCTGTGAACCTTGAATTCAAAAGACAGAGAGAGGATCCAGGGTTTCCCTTCTGTGGGTCCAGATGGGAACCAGGGTGATGTATTGTGATTCGGGGTGGAACTTGCAGGAGCAAGTCATAAGGATTCCATGAACCACTCGATTCCCGACAGTGAATTTGTTTCTAAAATAGCTCTGGTCAATTCTTCTTTCTGTAACTAAGCCTTGGATGCCGGTAAATCACAATAGTTCTGAGTCAGAAATTTTGCAAAGTTCCCAAATGCCACTCTGTCCATCCCTCCTTGAAGCCAACCTATCACAAATATTGTCTCAATATTGAGTGAAAGAAAAACGATTATTTTGACATTTGCTAAAATAAGAGGAAGATTTTATTCGGGATGTTAGAAGTGCCAAGGTCACTGCAATAGAAAAGAAAGACTGACCTAGACTTTGAAATACCACAAAAATAGCTGGAGTGCCACATACAGTAAGGGAGATGGAGAGGAAAATGACTGAGACATCAGTGCTGAAGGACTCTTGAGAAACCAACTTAATAGAAATCTGGCTGAAGGCAGACCAAGGTGACCAGAAACCAAATTTGGGGGATAAGGAAATGATCTGATGTCAGGATGAGGAATCTCTGCTCATCAGACCTGCTGGGATTCTCGGTAACTGACAGAATTTCTAAGCAGGTCCAGGCAGAATGCAGGCCACAGCTGAGGTCAAGTCCAGAAGACGTTCTGAAGAAGCCTGATGGAGCTTTGATTATGAAGAAAGGAGTTCCCCATGCTTGTAATCTCAGCACTCAGAGAGGCAGAGGCAGGTGGATCTCTGTGAGTTCGAGGCCAGCCTGGTCTACAAAGTGAGTCCCGAACCAAGCCAACACTTGGGTTTTGGTCTCCAAAAAAAAAGGAAGAAAGGAGCTTTCATAAGTACATACGTGCTCAGTGCAGAGTTGCAAGGGGCCCTACTTCTTGCAGTGGGCTCTGGTTTCTTCGCTGTTTTGGTCAGGCTGTGAAGGAGGAAAAGCTTGGTGGATGCAGATAACAAGCCAGGGCACCAAGGACAGAGCACGAGGGAAGGGGAGAGAAAGGATGTGGTAGGGAGACCAGCAAGCACCAAGATGGGCCACACTGTGGAGATGGTTAAGGATTCTGTGTTTTTTTATTCTAGGTCCAGCGAGGCAACAGTCACTGAAGTGCATTAAACATGAACTGAAAGGACCTCGTTTGTATTTTACAGACTACCGTAGCAGGTTTATTTCTGTCAGAAATGGAGGGGTCAGGGTGGTAGGGCAAGGAGAAAAATCAGGCCAACACCTGAAGCGCCACTCTACCCACCTGCGGCTTCTCGGGAGAAACTGTAGGCATGCTGCTCGGATGGGAAATGCTCCTTGTGTGCTCACGTGTTTGAGCACTTGGTCTCAAGCTGCTGGAGTTTTAGGGAGACTTGGACCGTGCAGCCCTGCTGGAGGAAGTACGTCACTGGAGGCGTGCTTCAAGACTTCATAGCCTCCTTCTACTTCTCCTTCACTCTCCCTGCTTTATGCTTGTCAGAAATATGATCTCTCTGCTTCCCTTGCCATTGCAGACTCTTCCTCCGAACTATAGCCACAGTAAAGTCTTCTATAAGTTGCCTTGGTCATGGCATTGTATCATAGCAACAGAAATGTTAGTAACAGCAGCTACAAAAAAAAAGTAACAAAAGTCTTACTGATATTTAATGAACATGAAACAGACACAGAAAAAATACACTATAAGGCTTGGGTGTCAAGATTTTGCAACAGGATTCTCATCAGAACACACATGCTATAGAAATTACTGCCAAGTCAAAGCCAAACTGGAGAAGGAAAAAAATACATCTCAGCATTGCTATCACGGTCACATGGACTCAGGTAAGTCACCACTACTGGTCATCTGTCCTAGAAACGAGGTGGGAATCACCAAAGGACCACTGAGAAGTTGGCGGGGGCTAGGATGGGGAGGGCTCCTTCAAGCATGCTGAGGTCTTTGATGTGAGCAAACTTTCTCTGACCATCTCTGGATTGTTTTGCTGTTTGTAATTTGAAATAGGAGGTTGCTGTCAGTGTCATCAAAGCCACGGACAAAAAAGATGCAGGCCTTACGTCCAATGAGACGGCTGTTGGCCGTCCCTCAGGCACAGGTGCCACTATTGCACCTTGAGGCATATCTTGCCAAGCTGGTTACTGTTGTGACTCATAGTCTTCACAGGTGGATAGGCTTTGTTTTCCTCTATCAGCAAGTTGCATAGCTTGCAGTGTTATAAACCTTGCAGTGTTATGAAAGCTAACCCTCTGGGAAGAGGCTTTTAGGTCAGATCCAGCTCTATTCCTCCATAAAGTTTTTAAAGGTATTTTAAGAACAGAAAGACTAACGGCTTCCACTGAAAGGTACAGGTACAAATCTAATGAGTCCTTTGATGGTCAAAGTTCAACTAGTAAAAAGGAGAATGTGTTGGAGTACTTTAAAAAAAAAAAAAAACTCTTTTATTTACACTTCTGTCTTTTTCTCCCTATTTTACCCCAATCCCTTCCAACACAGGAGAAAGGGTTAGCGGGAGAGGGAGTGCAGTTCTCTTAGCCGCTTCCTGCTGGTTAGGGTTATCAGGTTCCTTGGAGCCAGTCCAATCCTTGTTTCAGGAGACCCCAACTTCTTGTCTCACAACAGCAACCAGGAGCAGCCTTGTTCTTTCTCTTCTCTCCACACTCTCTGGGCTCTGGCCTTTATTCCCTCTCCAGAGTCCTCAGATTTAAACTCTCTGCAGCTGGCAAGGAGCTCCTCTCATAGCCCGAAGGAGGCAAATAGTCTGCTGCTGTGGACCATCTGAATCAGTCCACATCCCGCACCTAGGACCAAAACAGAAACATGTTTACATCCACAACAAGAGTGAGAAACCCAAGCAAGGCTTTCATTGAAAATGGAGACCTGATAGGCAGAACTGGCCAGGCGTGGGAGCTCAGAAGTTCAATCCTAATCAACTTTTGCCTGGCTTGGTTTGAAAATTGCTACAGACAACTTGGTGCCTCCTGCTTCCTTCTTGAAGTAGAATTCCCATACTGGTTATTCTGTGCCCATTCTACCATTGTGTTGGGATGGGGAGGGAGCAAATAACTTGTTTGTAGATCATAGACCTTTACTTAAGGAAGAAAGTCACTTTCTCTGTACTTACCCACACATACACACAGTGAGTATTTGATAACTTTTTTTTTTTTTTTTTGAGAAAGGTCCTCACTATGTAGCTGTGGCTGGTCTATAACTCCCTATGTAAAACAAACTGGCTTCAAAATGAAAGTTCTGCCGCCCAAGTCCTGGGACTAAAGGTGTGCACGACCACACTCAACTTTATACACATATAGTTTTGGAAAGAAGGACAAGGTGATTGTGTCTCCTGATAGGGTCTAAGCCAGGGTCACTCAGCTGCAGCTTTTTAATTCCTAAGCCACAGAGACTGTCACATGCATGACAGTCTCTTTATGACCTTGTTTGAGAGTTACACAGCAATAGATAACTAGCATTCAAGGTGATGTCATTATGCGTATGGCAGTTTCAACAACACACATAGATGCTGCAGATTCAACTTATCTTCCCTACAGGAGATGGAGAGAGTAATGCGTGGTCCATCACGTCTTTCTGAAGTTTTAAATGCTCTCCCTGTCCATTTTTGTCTTTCCACGCGTAAGTTTTAACTTCCCATCAGTTCCAAAGTCAACCCCAGGGAACTCTGACCCGGAGGTTTTATCAGTCAGAGACCATCACCCATCCAGACTTCGTAGCAGAAACACTTCCGGGGGTGGGGGGTACAGAAAGAGACAGGTGACGCCCGGTGCGCGTTCTGGGGTCTGGGCAAGAGGGTGGCTTCCTCGGGGATCCGAGCAGGGCACTGCGCCCCCGCAGGGCGCGCCGCCGCCTCCGCACCCAGCCAGCCCAATTTCCGGGCCGCTCCCGGCCGGGAGGCGGGGCCGGGGCGGGGAGCTCGGTCATCTGACTCGGTGACCCGGGCACGGATGCCTTCTCCCCGGCGGCCGGGGCGAGTAAGCCGGTCGGAAGGCGCTGCCCGGGCAGACCCGCGGAGCGGCCATGCAGCGGTGCCCACCTCGCGCCCCCGGGCTGCTGCTGGCGCTGCTGGCGCTGGCGGCGCAGGCCCCCGCCCAGCTGCGACCCGCGCTGTGGCCCATGCCGCGCTCGGTGGAAATGTTCCCGCGGCTGCTGTACATCTCCGCGGAGAACTTCCACATCGTCCACGACGCCAATTCCACCGCGGGCCCCTCCTGCTCGCTGCTGCAGGAGGCGTTTCGGCGGTGAGCAGCCCCACCCGGCGGGTGGGGGACCTGGGGCACGGCGGCGGAGCACCGGGCAGCCTGGCGCACGGGAGGACCGCCCGGCGGGTCGGACCCGTGCGGACCGAAGCCCAAACCCTGACCCGCCCATGCTGCTTCCCGGTGCTTAGGGACCCCAGCCTGGGTGCAGGGTAGCAGCGGAAGCTGCTAGTGCTTGAGTCGGTTTGTTGGCCTCAGAAGGGCCGTTGAGATGGCTCCAGAGATAGGGACCCGAACATCGTCCAAAGTGGACCGCCAATGAGTGCTTCTGTCCGTCCGGCCTTAGACCAGGACGTTTTGACGGCCTGAGGTGCTCCCCAGGGCTGACTCGCTCTCAGCGCTTCCTCCCCATATGCGTCAACAGTTCAGACGTCTTTAATCTCTAATGGTTTTGTCTTTAAGTGTTTGCTAGCCTGCGTGAAGATGGGTGTGCCACGTGTGTGGGGACACCCGCAGACGCGGAGGGCATGGAATCTTGGTGTGAGCCCCCAGTGCGGGCATGCAATTGTGGCGGATGCTGAGAACCGAACCCAGGTCCTCTGAAAGAGCAGTAAGAGCTCTAAACCTCTGAGCAGTCCCCCCAGCTCTAAAAGAAGGAGAAGAAGGAAGAAGAAGAGCCCTTAAATTAGAGCATTATGGGAAACTTACTCTCCCGAGCAGTCGCTCTCCTCTCCCTCCCGTAGCTCCCTAAAGCCCTTTCCCTTGTCACAGTTTGCCATTTGCAGGTCCCCAAGCTCTGCCGCTCTCTGAACACAAAGTGCGGGCCGCGCGCAGAACCCTTCCCACGCACAGCCCTGCCTTTGAGTGCAGGTTACAGAGGGTGACGCCTGAAGGTGCCCTTGCCTCCTCAGCCTGGGACCTCTGTCAGAGGGACTTCCCGGGAACGGTTATTTGGTACTAGCTACTGCAGCTGCTTTCACTCCCAGATCTTGTCTGTGTCCAGTGAGTACAGCTGTAACTTAATTTTGCCTGTAGGACACCAAACAGCTGACCAGGAAGGCAAAACAATTTTAAGGGTGGGTGCTTTGGGCCCTGTGGTGCCTGAGCTTCGGCGAGAGAGGCCGGAGAGGCTGCAGAGACAGTGTGTTCTCCGCCGCAGGAAAGGCTCGTGCTTTGCTTGTGATTTGCACAACTGGGAGGATATTGTCATCCTCTTTTGGAGGCTCTAATAGGCTTTGGAGTGGAATTGCTAAGGGGTTCAAACCTGTTAGGCCGGGTTTTCCTTTTGCCTTGCTAGGAGCTTGAGCCAGCGGCATGAGTCGCTTTAGTGGATACAGGGTTAAGGCTTGCATCAGCTGTGACGTGGTTTGAAAACAATATTACGATCTCAAAACAAGTTCAGGTAATAATTACCTGAAGGATTTGCCACCTCATTTGTGGCCAGTGTGGGAAGCAACGAGTAATGCCACCGGCATTGTTTGGAAGCTGGTTGTAAAAGACAGCTAACCCTTGAGCATTCTAGTAATTCTGGCACGGCAGGGTTAGAAGTGCCTGGAGATTCAAGTGGGTCAGAACATTGATACAAGCTGCCCAGAATCCAGGGCCTCCTGTCAGGAAGAGCCAAAGCTCAGTCACAAACAAAGTTTTTTGCAGGGATAGTTTGGCTCTTGGATGTGTGGCTGCTTCTTCAGCCTGGAAAAACTTCTGAATTGTAGGCCCTGTTTTGTGTTTTGTTTTTGTTGGAGACAGTGTCTCCCCTTTGTAGCCCAGGCTGGCCTCAGACTCACAGCAGCTTCTGTGAGATCAAAGGTGCCACCACACCCGGCCTGGAACTCTTGTTTCAGAAAAAGGCTAGCTAGCGCCTAACTCGGACCTCGGATCTTAAAGCCGGTTAGTGGTCCCTGTCTGTCCCTTAAGCCCACTCCAGCCCCTGCCCAGTACTAGGAGGGCCTTGCCCATGCTAGGTAAACTGCACCACTTGAGCTTTTCTAAGTTTTAAAAATATTGTTTTACAGCTGGGTGGTGGTGGCACACGCCTTTGATCCCAGCACTTGGGAGGCAGAGGCAGGTGGATTTCTGAGTTCAAAGCCCACCTGATCTAAAGAGTGAGTTCTAGGACAGGGCTACACGGAGATACCCTGTCTTGAAAAATAAACAAACAACACCAATAAAAATTATCTTTTGTGCCTGGGTGTTTTGACTGCCATGTGTATGCTCCACTTGTGCACAGGGCCTGTGGAGGCCAGTCATAGATGGCTGTGAGTCACCGTGTGGGTGCTGGAAATTGAACTCGGTCCCTCCGGAAGAGCAGCCAGTGAGTGCTCTTAACTGCTGAGCCAGCTCTCCAGCCCTAATTTTTTTAAAGTTCTTCTTCCTCTGCTTCTTACTCATCTTCTTCTTTTGAGAGGGTTCTCTGTGGCCTTAGTTATTCTAGAACTCACTCTGTCGACCAGGCTGACCTCAAACTCAAAGATCCACCTGCCTCAGCCTCCAGATCAAAGGCCTTCACCACCACTGCCCAGCTAAAAGTTTTTAGTTGTGGTAAAACATAAAATTTGCCATTGAAACGTTTTAAAAATATTCATTCACTTTGATGCACACATGTATGTCTGCGCACCGGTGCCTGTGGACTGTGAAAGAGATTTCCGAATCCCCATGTGAACTTTCTCATTCTCAGCTTTGAGCTGACGGTGTAGACAGCACGATTTTCAGAAAGTTCTCGACAGTTCTAAGGAGCGTCATGAGGAGGAGTCCGCTTAGACCGAGATGATTTGAGAGCTGCTTTCTATGTCCACAACCACCACATATATACTGTTTGGTTCATTGTTTAAATGGATTTCTCCCACAGATATTACAAGTATGCTTTTGACTTATCTAAGAGGCGTCATGGCCCTGCTAAATTCCAAGGTGGACCACAGTTACAGCAGCTTCAGGTCTCAATTACCCTTGAGTCACAGTGTGACGCCTTCCCCAGCTTGTCTTCCGATGAGTCCTGTAAGTACCTGTTATAAAACCAGTCACTGTGGAAAAGTTGTACTTCAGCAGTAGGTGCGGAGGGCCAGAGGATCAAGCTGTCCATCATCCCAGCCCTGGGAGTTTTCTGCTGCCCTCAGCTGTCCAGGCGTATGTTGTTTGCAGCAAATGTTTTGCCTGGATACAAGCATTAATATGAAAATGAGAATAAGGTGAGCATGGCATTTGGGAGGCTGAGGCAGGAGCATTGCAGTGAATTGAAGCTAGCCTGGGCTGGAATAAAACCTTATCTCAAAAATAAGAAAAAGAACAAAGAAAGAAAATGGGTATTTCTGTACATGTGGATTTTGACTTTTATATTTTTACACAATCATGAACAGTTATGAGCATTGAGTATTCTTCGGTGACATAATTTCTAATGCCGCAGTACTGTACAACTCTATGGTAGTATTAGACTAATCTTGAGGCTACACACATAGGCATTCACAGAAGACAGAGAACGTAGGATCCCTTGGCTTGGAGTTACAGGTGAGCCACCAGCCTTGGGTGCTGGGAACTGAATTGAGATTCTCTGGAAAAGCGGTGAGCCATCCTTCCAGCCCTTAACGTCTGTCTTTGAAGGCAGATTAGAGCTTCTTGCACACTGGACAGGCCTGCACACAGAACGGTATCACCTCCCCCATAGAGTCGGCTGGCTGGCAGGAATCAAAGAGGCACATTGTGATTCTACATGTGATAGAGACTAGTGCCAGGAAGAGACGAGGAAATTGGCTATTAAAATAAATGTCACCTAAGTAAGAAGAAACAATGCCTCCTCAGTCGTTAGACGGCTTCCTCTACATGTGGCTAAGCACCGTGTTCCTCCTTCAACACAGATAACATCTCCTATAGGATTTTCACTGTCCTGGACTCACTTTGTAGACCAGACTGGCCTTGAACTCACAGAGATCCGCCTGCCTGTTCTAGGATTAAAGGTTTGGGCCACCCGGCCCAGCATACTTATTTTCCTAAGGAAAGCAGTTTCATTTCTTTTCAATTCTGTAACTGTCCTTGAGAGAGACACACGGTTTTGGTGGGCAGTGGGCACCTCGATGCTATAGGAAGAGTAGTTTTTGCAATCTGAACTGAGATAAAAAATGGCCACTGTGTTGCCCAGGAAGCTTTGCTTATTACTGTGAGCAATATAGATGACCTATCGAACTGAGACTGAAGAGTTGGAGCCTTTAATCAAGTCAGTTCTGCCCTTTTAAGAGTACTTCTTTAGTTAAGTTTTAGGAAACTTGCCAGCATCCTGAATGCAAAATCCAGACCCCAACCTTTTCTATTCAAAATAAAGATAGGCATACCCTGAGAACAGAAAGAAACCAATTTCTCTTTTAGAGAGGTAGCCACATACACCAAAGACATTAACTGGTGGAGTTAAGCAAAATAAGCTCGCTCTCCTTGGTAGAGGACTGTCTGAACAGATAGAAGGAAGTTAATCTGCATGACAGACAGACGTGCAGAGTTTGCCAAAACAAACAGCTAAGTGGGGCAAGGGAAGTTGTACAGTGGTAGAGGGGCAGAACTCAAAGAAACGGATATTGTTTGTTTTCCCATTACACAAATGTGTATGTCGATGCCCAGGAAAAGAACTAATAGATATTTCATTTGGGGGCGGTAGAGAGAACGGGGTGGGTATCTCAAGTAATGATTGAGGAGTATTTTAGTTATTGGTGTCTGTATAGATGCCCTCTAAAACAAAGGCATTTCACAGTGCAAATAGGTCCAGAAGGGGACAGTTGAAAAGTCAAAGCCATCCTATTCCGCCATACACACAAGCGGAGTCACTGCCGAACCTAATGCTTGGGTTTGAAATTAAGATTGTACGGCTGTGGGTCTTCCTAGTTAGCGGGTTAGTCTTCTGAGTACTGAGGACGTCTTCGTGAGTTGAGTCAGGGTCCTTTTAATATCAGCTGTTGTGGGAAGAAGAAGGCCTGCTTCAGTTGCACTTGCAGAGGCAAAACAGCTCTGGGTCTGACATTTCCGCTCACTCAGCACTGCGGTCTTCTGACTGGAAAGGCTGTTCTGGTAGAATTCTGTCAGCTGAGCGTGTCACATGAGGGACACCCGTCTTTTTCCTGAGGGCAGCCGCCTGCCTCCTGGTAGTCTGGAGGGAGTAGAAGGTGACGAGCCAGGCCAGATGGTGTGGTACTAAATCGTTAACTCCAGCCTCCAGGGCGCTCCCTGTGCCAACAGTTGCACCTACACACCCTTAGCTTTCAGTGTCTGCCCCCTCTGTACCCTCTCTGCGCTGCCTTGCCCCAGCCCAAAAGTACTTAGCATGAGACCTAGGCAGAGGGTGATACCAAAGACTGATGGAGAAGGCTCTTTTTGGCCCAGCCCAGCCAACTGGACCTGGGGTTTTTTTGTTTTGAGACAGGGTTCCTGGATAACCCAGGCTGGCTTTGAACCCATGATTCTCATGCCTCCACCTCCTGAGTGCTGGGATTACAGGCCCATCCCTGCCGTCCCTTTATGCCTGGGTGGAGTACCATTCTTGATGGGTGTGGACTTCTTATTGAGGGAAACTGAGTTGAGGTGAAGGAAGCTAGAAAGCAAGTCTTAAAGCGGATTTCAGATGCCATGGAGGGGAGAGGGTGTAGGACGAACGACAATAGGAAGAGAGTGGAGTGGAGTGGAGTGGACTCGCCAGCCTTGGAGGAAGTGGGAAGTTTGAGTAAATAAAGAGTGTGAGTACTGAACTTTGCCTTTCTGACCTGGCAGTTCAGACCTGAGAAGATGGGGCCTGCTCAGGGATGCCCAGGGGCCTGGCTTGAACAGCTCAGCTGCCTGGCCTATGGCACCGGATCTCACTCAAGTGAGACACAAAGTCTCTGGGGTTCTGGCTGTGGCGTTTGAATCTAAGTGAGGCATACAGGAGGAGAGAGAAAAGAATGAAAATACCAATGGTGTGTGTAGGCTTAGATTGTGCGTAGTTCTGGAATTAACAGAAGCTCACCAACCTTTCCCCACAGATACTCTGCTTGTCAAAGAACCTGTAGCTCTCCTCAAGGCCAACAGAGTATGGGGAGCATTACGAGGTAAGTTCTGTGCAGTTTCCTTGTCTCTAGTAGTAGAATATTATCACATTTTGCTTCATAAAATCAAGCAAAGCAAAACTATTCCACCTTAGGTCCTCTTCATTATTTTCCATGAAAAACTGGCCTGAGCACTTAGATTACTTCAACCCAACATGCCCCAACCTGAACCTCAGGGGAAATGTCCTACAAAACTGTCTTCCCCCACCCTGGACCTCCCGAATCTGCTGCTGAGCAAGTTTCCGGGTGATCCTGAGAGAGTGAGAAACCCGGTGTAAGGAGGTACCTGCTCACCCTCGAGACAGGTGTTCTCAGTGAACTGCTTTCTAGAGCCCTGTCGCTCCTCACATTCCAGTCTAGAGACCTCGTTTGGACTGGCTGCTCCTGGGTCCACAAGCTCGTGTCTGAGTGGGGCAAATGGGGTAGCCTCGCCAGGCAGAACTGGGAGAGCTCACTGTCTGTGCCCTGGAGCCACACACCTTGGTATCCATAGGATCAGTGGTGCAGTTACCTTTTTTTTCTTTTGGTTTTGTGAGACAGGGTTTCTCTGTGTAGCCTTTACTGTCCTGGAACTTAGTCTGTAGTGGCCTTGAACTCAGAGATCACCGTTTGCCTTTGCCTCCTGAATGCTGGGATTAAAGGCAAGGGCTACCACCACCTGGCAAATGTAGGTACTCTCTAAAATGACCAGTCCTTTAGCATAAAAATTCTCTCCTTGACTGCTGTACATTTATTAGGGAATTGCTATCTTATCAAGTCACTTTAGTGTTAAGCACATAAGCAAAGCAGAGGGGATGGTGTAATGAGGCGAGGTGCGTTTATTCACTGGCTCTCGGGCCGAGGGAGCTCAGGTTAGGGGAATATTGGCATTTGCTGGAGCAGTGCTGTTGTTTAGAAGGTGTGGATGAACTTGTGGCTGTGAGTATTTGGGCATTACTTTTCTTTCTTTCTTTTTTTTTTTTTTTTTTTTTTTTTGTCTTGTAAGTAACAATACCTTTTCTTCCCTGCCCCCCCAGGTTTGGAGACGTTTAGCCAGTTAATTTACCAAGACTTGTATGGGGCTGTAAGTATCCGGTTGTTTTCCTGAGGCTGGTTGGGCAGGCGCTGCTGTCGGTGTAGCCTACCCAGCTGGACTTCTGGAAGGTTCTTTTCTCATAGATCTAGCGTGTAACGTTTGTGCACTTTTTGGCCCTAAATTATCATCTAGTGCTTGTAGGTAATTGTAGTCATTGTTGAACTGGAGGGAAAAAAAACATTCAAAGACTTGTCAAAATTTTATTTTGTTTCCTAGTTCACCATCAACGAATCCAGCATCACTGATTCCCCGAGGTTTGCTCATAGAGGAATTTTAATTGATACATCCAGACACTACCTGCCTGTGAAGACAATTTTAAAAACCCTGGTAGGTAATCAACTGATCAGATCTCTTGCTCCCCCTGAGGAGCAGCCCCTTAGTACTTTCTTGGGGTTTCTTGTGCTATCTTGTTGGATGGACTTGTTTTCTTGTCCTAAGTCTAGCACTGGGCTTCCTGCCTCCCTCCCATAAGAAATGGAGGCGTATCTGCATGGACCGCCTTTATCTTGTCAGTGTATCACAGATAACGTGAATTTGGCCAAGACTGCTAAGAGAATAGTTTTTATATATTTTGTTTGTTTGTTTTTTAAGAAAGGGTTTCTCTGTGTAGCCTTGGCTGTCCTGGACTCGCTTTGTCGAAGAGGCTGGCCTCAAACTCAGGGAGATCCTTCTGCCTCTGCCTTCTCAAGTGCTGGGATTGAGAGTTTGTTTGCTTGTTTGTTTGTTTGTTTGTTTGTTTGTTTGTTTGTTTGAAGCCAAGATCTTGGGAGGTAGCCTAGGCTGGCCTCAAGCTCCCCCAGCCACAGGATTATCAGCGCGTGCGCCTACATTAGGGCCATTGACTGGATGCATGTTCCCTTTAGTCAGATGGCTGTTCTGGACATAAACTGAAATAAATGGCTACAATCACTCTAGCTATTGGTTTTTTAAGGTCATATAGGAAGGGGTCAGGGAGTAGTGTTTTCCCTTTGGAATGTTCCAAGAGAATATCTAGACCTTTGGGGTGGGAGTTAGAAAGGTTGATTATAACCATCTTTTCCCAGATGCTTTCCATTGGTTTGTCCACACTACCACCTGTTGGCTGATTCTCTGAGCTACTTCAACTTTTTAGAAGATTATAAAGAACTTTCATATATTCTTTAGTTGAGAATATATAAATTTAAAATGTGTGAATATGTGAATTTGAAGTTTTATGATTGAAATTTTTTAAATATTTGTTAAATTTACTTAAAGTTTGTATTTGCCTGACTATCCCTATTATAATGCCTGATGGGCACATGACTCAGATATTAGTTTGCATCTCCTAATAAAAGAAAGAACAGAGGTTGGAGAGATGGCTCAGAGGTTAAGAGCACTGGCTGCTCTTCAACAGGTCCTGAGTTCAATTCCCAGGAACTACATAGTGTCTCATAACCATCCTTAGTGAGATCTGGCTCCCCTTTTTGGTGTATAGGCACACATACAGGCAGAATGCTGTATAAATAATAAATAAAGAAATCTTTAAGAAAAAAGAAAGAACACGAGTGTCTTTGTAGGAAAGTAGAAGATGGCATCTGTCTTTGAACTTGGTTCAGTCATATCTTTTGATTTTTTTTTTTTTTCTGGAGGGACAAATGAGCAGGGGAAAATCACACTGGCCCAGATGTTCCCTGTGTTGTCCCCAGTGACTCATTTCAAGCTGTAGAAACCATTCCAGTGCCCACCCGAGCCTTGCCCTGACCCTGAAGTGCCAGGTTTCCTGGGCATGCGCACCATGCTGCATGCTCAGTGGCAGGCAGATCCCATGTCATGGGAGGCCCCCAGCCCAGCGCCTCCTCCGTGGACCATTATTCCTGTGTCTAGAAATGTCTCTTGCATCTGTGTATGGTTCTGGCTGCCGCTGCTCCTTTGTGGGAAAAAGAAGTTGTTATCTTCCGTTACCTCCTCTTTTAAAGAGCAGCATTTCCTCTTGTTACTCCTGGAAGTATCTCCTCTGCCGAGAGTCGCATTGGTTAAGCATCCTCCCTAACCCATGCTGGTGGAGACTTGCTGATTCTGTGCCTCCCAGTGTTTGCCAACCAGGCTCTTCCTCTGCTCAGAGTCAGAGAAAAGCAAGCTAAGCGTCTGGTTCCAGCAACTTCTAGTCATGTGCTGTCTGCATGCCTAGTTTCCGCCTCTCATCACAAGGTACACAGCGGTCCGAGGTTTGGTAAAACAGTGAAGAGCCCTTCCTCTTAAAAGAAAGTGTAGCCGCCTGCTGCTTGCCCCAAAGTCAGTTTACAGGGGAAATGAGTCCAAGCAGGGTAGAAATCAGCCAGTTCAGGAAAAGACTGCTGAAAGATCCGGAACTTCTGTGTCCTGGGATCCAGTTATAGGAAGCACGTTTCCCCTTTACATTTATTTATTTGTTTATTCATTAATTCACGTATTGTATGGGTGGGTGGGTACCATGCATGTGGAGTCAGGAGGGCTCCCCTCCCAGCCCTGTAGCCAGGCCTGCTGCCCTGAACCCACCTCAACCGTGGGGCCTCCTGACTGAGACCAGGACTGACTCAGAATAGCTTCAGTACAGGCCTTAGGAGCAGGAGGCGGGTGGCAAGTACTCTCCGTCAATCCACAGTGCAGACCCCATGGCTGCTGGAGAGCATCCATCCAGGCCCTGTGTTGTAGTTCTTGTTCCCACTCCTCAGTGACCCTCGGCCTGGAGCTGTGATCTTTCCTCGTTTTGGAAGACTTTTTTTTTTTTTTTCTTAAGTCCAGGCCAGTTACTTTTAGAGCATGTCTCCGCTCATGTGTTTCTCACATGAAGTTCTGTTGTCTCAGCTCATGTGTTTCTCACATGAGGTTCTGTTCCTGGGGCAAGAATAAAGCTGAAGTGGGCTGTGTTCTCAGAGTACCATGTGGCACGCTGTCCCTCCACACTCAGTCGGCCGAGACGTCACCTGCCATGTTTCTGCACTGTGAAGTTAATTTATGGGTATTTTGTGCTCCTTAATCACACTATGGGAGGAATTGTGGGACTCTGTAAAATCCCCATCTCTCCTCAGTGCTCACGCACAGCTGATCCCTGCCTAAGGAGGTCATTACTTTGCCCAGTCACCAAGTGGTGAGTTCCCTAATTTCATCATTTCTAGAGTTTACTAGTGGTAGATTATCTTATATGGTAAGGCAGAACATCACCCCCCTTTTAGAAAACGATTTATTTATTTATTATGTATACAGTGTTCTGCCTGCATGTGAGCCTGCAGGCCAGAAGAGGGCACCAGATCTCATTGTAGATGGCTGTGAGCCACCATGTGGTTGCTGGGACTTGAACCCAGGACCTTTGGAAGAACACCCAGCACTTTTAACCTCTGAGTCATCTCTGCAGCCCCCAGAGCATCCCTTTTAACAGTCTGGATGATTATTTTGCCTAATGGATCGTAATCTGTTAACATCCCTGTACAATTGTCAAATTGGGCCTACTGTGGCCATTAGAAGTGGTTCTTCTGAGATGTCCCCTCAGTCTCTCTGTACTTTGGCACCATGATATCCCAAATTTATGGTGCCCTGTCTCAGAAGATTTAGGGGTTTTTTTTGTTTGTTTGTTTTGTTTTGTTTTCAAGGAACCTTTTCAGTGGTCAGTATTTCATTTGGGCTGTAGGTGGGCGTATCGCAATGAGGGCATCTCCGGACTGTAGACAGTTAGGAAGTATAGCCACATGTGTGTTCAGGGTATTTACATGAACATACATGTGTGCATCTTTCCTTGTATCTCCGTCTTCTCTTTCTGTATTAGTACAGCGCAGGAGGCAAATCAGCTGCTGTGGACCAGGGGAGACTGTGTTTACCCTTTGTCCTCACACCACAGCTAACCTGGAAGACTTCAGTGACTTTAAAAGATGTAAAGAGTTTTGACCCCACCAGCACGCCCCAGTTCTTCAGCAGGACACCAGCCTCAAATCCAGTTTAGTTCTAATGCTGTAAGACCTGGAGATTTCACTCAGCTTACTTCCTAATACCTGTAGACAGTGTCAGACCCCAGACAAGAAAACTCATTCTCAAAGCTGCCCCTCTCCCTTCTGATGGGAGATGCTAGACACAAGGCCCAAGATACCAATGCCTGTGATAAACCATCACAAATCAGGGTTCCTAGAACTCCCTGCTCAAGTTCAATTAATTTCTTTGAGTGGCTGCCAGAATGTAGATAACATACCTCTCTGTTCATTGTAAAGAACACTGTAAGGGCTGCAGTTGATGAGGCTTATGGTTGGGGTTTGGGAATAGGGCTCTTACGTCCTCTCTGGCCATGCCAGTCTCCAGGAACCTCCTTGTGTCAAGGGCTGTGGAGCCCCTGACTGAAGTCTGTCCTTGGAAGTTCTGTGGAGTCCTCATCGGCACAGGCCTGGCTGAAAGCGAAACACCACATGGAAATATGACTAGATAGAAAGGCCTGAGCGAAGCCCAGAAGACCTGCAGCTTTAGCTCCCCTCCCTCCTCTCTGCGGTACCTCTCCCTGTGGGGTACAGGACAGAGCCCCCTGGATCAAGGAGGGGCTTGGGATCCACAATCAGACAAGACAGGTCAAAGAATTTCGTTAAGGGCAGCTCCAAGACAAAACCTGAGGCAGGATTGGTTCCTGTGACCAGCCTGGGGGGTGGGAAGCCCTAATTTTTACAGCCTTCACTGGGAGGGAGTTAGGAACCAGGAGCCACACAAAGACCCCAGAAACATCCCAGTATCGCAGCCAGCTGTCTTTGTGAGTCAGTTTCGCTGGAATGTGCACACGCATTTGTTACATATTTACAGCTTGGGGAGTAGAGTGGTTGCAACAGAAATCCAGCCTGAAAGTTGAAATATTTATTATCTGGCCCTTTATGTAAAGTTTACGAACCCCTGGCCTATTTAAAAAAAATTATAAGTTTATATTAGTTCGTTCCAATTACTAGTTTTTGTTATTCTCTTCTCTGCCATAAAAACTGTCTTCACAAATGTCCCCAGCTGCATCAGCCAAGTCTTTCTAGTTCCAGGACAGAGAAGGGAGGCCTTACGCCTGTATCATGCTGACAGATCTTCCCATGTATAACTACTGTAGATTATTCCTTCATATTATTACATTCAATATGTCAGGATGCCCAGGCTTTCTCTAGGCATTTGCTGGGCAGTCTGTTGAGTCTATAATGACTCTCACATCCCAGAGTTATCCCCATTCATGTCTGTGGGAACTGTACATTTCGATATTTACATAAATGCTTTGTTTTTCCTGTATTCCACCCCCTAAAACAGCCTTAGCCTTTTCATGCCCCATTCCTGGCAGTCCCTGAAGTAATGATAAATTCATAAGCTTGCTCTCCTATACAGCAACATCACAGCTTCCTGTATACAATGTGTATGTTCTGTGTGGGGACTCCAAGAGAGGTGTGTCATGTTAAACACATGATGAAGAATTTATGCTCCCTCTTCATTCTTTGCTAAAAGGAAACTATAAAAAGAAGCACTAATTGGAAGCAATCCCAATGTAGATAGATGTAATCGGGACTGTATTCTTCTGTGACGTGTAATTTTTCCCATGTTTGCTTGCAGGATGCCATGGCTTTTAATAAGTTTAATGTTCTTCACTGGCACATAGTGGACGACGAGTCTTTCCCCTATCAGAGCACCGCTTTTCCTCTGCTAAGCTTTAGAGTGAGTAACTCATGTCACCGTCCTCTATGCACGAAAATCTTTGGCATAGCTCCATTTGAATGTCTTAGCTTCAGTGGTTTCCTTATAAATGGAACCCAAAAGTGTAAAAGATAAGTATTTGTGGGTTAAAATATTTTTTAGGTTACTGCTTAGCATTTTATTTCCAATAAACCTTTTTGTAATTGTTATAATACCAAGTAATAAGATTATTACTGTAACTTTTATTATAAACAGTCTCTGAGAGCAGTATATATTTTAAGAGCTTTGGGCTGGAGAGATGGCTCAGCAGTTAAGAGCACTGGCTGTTCTTGCAGAGGTCCTGAGTTCAATTCCCAGCAACCACAGATGGCTTTAACCATCTGTGATGGAATCTGATTCCCTCTTCTGCTGTGCATGAAAACAGTATTCATATACATAAAATAAATAAATTTTTACCAAAAAAAAAAGCTTAATGTATAGAACACTTGAGCAATTCATGAGTAACATAGTTAAGCTATTCACTTGCATAATAGTATATTTAAAAAGGGTTGAAAACATGTAAATGACCTACCTAGGATATTTTGGAGACGAGCTGTTTTTTTTTGTTGTGAGACAGGGTCTCAGGCCAAGTGTGGTTGTGCACACCTTTAGGACCTTAGTAAGTTTGATGCAGGCCTGGTCTACATAGTGAGTTCCAAGCCAAGACTACACAAAGAGACCTCTCAATAAACAAAACAAAAGCCAGGGTCTCCTCCATCTCAGGCTGGTCCTGAACTTGCCGTGTCTGCTGAGGGTGACCTTAACGTGTACCCTGCTTCCTCCCAGTGCTGGGATCATAGGCATGCGCCATCACACTGGTGGTATCCATGCTGTGAGTGCTCAAATGGACTCTTCTAGGCAGTGGATCTGCGAGATCATCCTCGGGTCTGCTTAATCTCCCAGTAACACCAGCTGCCATCCAGAGAGCCTTGTGGGTACAGTTCCAGGTCTAACGATGTGTTTACCGTAGGCTGACGTGCGTGGTAGCGGGTCACGTATGCAGTGACTGCTTTCTCCTTTCATGTGCACATTCACAGAGGGTGGAAGAGTTCTGTCTGTTCAGTACCCGGCTCCAGCCAGCAGTCTGTGATGACTATCCTTCCCACCACCGTTTACTGGGACTCAAATCCCAGACTCCCCTCACTCTTGAAGAGGCTTGGTTTTATCTAGGCAGCCATCAATGCTCATATTTAACTGTCTTTTCCTCTTTTTAGAAAAGCATTTTACTCATTTGCATTGGAGCACATTTGTATTATCGATGCTAACGTGCCTGCTAATTCTCTTTTCTTCTTGTAAATTATTGTTATTGAAGAAACCAGCAGAATGTGCTGTCCTGTCTCTCTCTGCTGGCTTGGTTTTGCTGGCTGCATTCCACAGTATCAGTTAACATGTCCCTTATGTTTTGATTTGGGGTTTAAAGATTTCTATAAACCTGAGCGTGTATAGCCTGTATTTTGAGATAGGTTCCAAACCTTATCTTTCAGTGGGCTTTTATCATTACTTACAACCAGCATCAAGTGCTAATTCTTTAAACGACACAGAGACTGAGTTACTATTTAAACACAAAGTTACTTATTGTCTGGGGGAGGCTGGTTTTTAGGCGATAGTAATTAAAAAGACTGAAAGACAAAATCTGTGTTTTGTGATAAGGGGTGAGTTTTGATTCTAAGTTGACAAGGGCAGTGTTTTAGGTTTCAGTCTGGAGGCAGCCATTTTGCTTGTTTTGCTGTTTCGGTGAAGTTGGAGGCACCAGGAGATCCATCAGGGCATCTTGAATTTGATGGGCAGAAGTTGACACCATTTCTGTGGCTTCCTACCTGAAGCCACAAGTCACCCATTGTTAGGAGGGACGGCCTTATACCCTGTGATAACAGAGAAACTGGCCAGCAAGTGCACACAGAATTGTTTACAGTTTCCAGGACCAAATCCATCTTGCACATCTTAACTTGACTATTACAGGGAAGCTATTCTTTGTCTCATGTCTACACACCAAAAGATGTCCAGACAGTGATTGAATATGCCCGGTTCCGAGGGATTAGAGTTTTACCAGAGTTTGATACCCCTGGACATTCACAGTCTTGGGGAAAAGGTAAGGAGTTTGTTTTACACATTGAAAATGGGGCATTTGAGGTCCTTTGTTAATAGTTTGGTAGGTTTGTTCTTAACTGCGATTTGTGCAACAGTAGCATGAATACTATGATTACTCCAGATGTGATGGACTGTTTTGTGTCCCTCTATAACTTAATTCTGTTTTATTGATTGGCATGCTTTTGGGAGAGGACAGGATATAGTTGTGTTTCTGGTAGAGGGAACAGCATGAGGAAGATCATACAAAGAGAGTATGTAGTGGGAACAGTAGAACAAATTTTAGGGGATACTAGAGGTGGTGATTAAGAATGCAGGCCCTGGGGCCAGCCTGTTCACATGCAGACCCTGCTTTTGTCATCTGGACAGTAAACCTTGGGCAAGTTAACACTTCACCTCCAGTTTCCCCACCTATAAAATAGGGCCAGGACCACATAAACAATAGAAAGTACACAGCATGGGACCCAGCACACAGTAATATCATGGTAGACATGAAGAGCAATGGGAGCTGAATCTGGAAAGGACATCATTGAGGCCCTTGATGACAGTAGTGGGCTTCAACACACCCTGGAAAAATGCCAACTTCCACGTAGAGAGCTAACATGATTGGGGTCACATCTGGGGAGAGCCTTTGTGAAAGTAACGGATTGGAAAGAGACATTGGAGGCCCAAAACCGGGAAGGTGAAAACAGGCTTGAAAAGTAATGAGAAGAACCAGAGACATTCTAGAAATCCATCCACAGAACTCAGTAACCGGCTCCAGATGAAGCTTGGTAAAGCCACAGGCAGACCTGTCAGAAACTAAAGAATGAGAATTTCTTTTTTGTTAGATCATATTGAAAGGGAGCTAGGGTTTCTGTCTGTATTGAGCAGGGAATCTGAACTATGTATTGAAGCTCAAAGAAAAAGTTGGAAAGTCACTGATATTTGAAGGGGATAAGACCTCAAAGCCTGACTGAAAGTAGCAAAGGGGAACTGAAGAAGCAGCTCTTGTCTTCCTGGGGAGAAACCAAGTGAGTTTTGATAAATGTGGTTGTCTTCTCTCTTTAATTTCTATAGTGTCAACAAAACAAAGCCCCGATGCTCAGGGTTTACATGGTTTCTCTTACGACAGTGTCATAGAAACCACATTTTGAATCTCGATCTCTTCCCAGGCTGTGACTGAGTAGACACAGTCCTTAAGGAACCCCAGGCTCCAGCAGGCACGCAGACACAGATGCTGCAGTGTTGTGTGCTGAACTATAGGTGGTGGGTTAGTGTGTCCAGTGCATTTCTGACTGTTGGTAGTTTCAACTTGCTTATGGGGTTTATTGGGATTCAACGCCATTGTAAGGGGAGGGCTATCTGTAGTATAAAGATGTGCGTATTCTGGTCTTTGGGATTAACATCCTTGTGAAAATAATCCTTTGTATTTTCTTCTAGGTCAGAAAGACCTTCTAACTACATGTTACAGTAAAAGAGGTCAAACAGAGAGGTTTGGACCTGTAAACCCAACCCTAAATACAACATACACATTCTTTGCCACATTTTTCAAAGAAATCAGCACTGTGTTTCCAGATGAGTTCATTCACTTGGGCGGAGATGAGGTGAAATTTGAATGCTGGTATGATAACTCTAAACCTTTTATTTTTTACATTTTTGTTCTTAAAGTGTAGATATACAGGATCCACATTGAAAAAGGGAAGATCCCCTGGTAAGGGTCTGAGCAATTTGTGAGCTGGTTGATTATTAAAGAATGTATATCGAGGTGCAACAAGGCAAAGCACAGGAAGAAGAACCGAGGAGTCGAGGCTGGGCATGTAGGCTCATGCCTATAACCAAGATGGAGGGCAAGCCTGGGCTACAGAGTGAGACTCTAATTCAAGAAAAAAGAATAAGAAAGTCTGTTTCCCAGTCTTGGTGGCACATATGTAACCCCCATACTCAGGAAGATGAATGTGGAGTAATATGAATTCAAGTTTAACCTGGACTATAGTGAGTCTCAAAAGACCTGAAAGACTATAAGGACAAGAAAAGCTTTAGTGGAAACGGGAATGACTAAATAGGGAAAGATGTTCAATTAAGAGTTCCTAGCTTTGTAAAAGGCCTGGGATGGGGTGTGTATGGAAAGCCTTTTTAAAAACGAGAAATCATTTCCAGAAAGAAATCCTTTGCATTAGAAAGAGAATCCATAATCAAGAACTTGGCTTTCCTTTTAATGCTTGAAAGTCTGTATAACTAATGTTATGGATGCATGCTGCTTCAAATGACAAACTGGACACATCAAAATGTTTGTTACATTTTAGTCACTATTTTATTTAAGGGCATCAAATCCAAACATCCAAACTTTCATGAAGAAAAAAGGCTTTGGCAACGATTTCAGAAGACTAGAATCATTTTATATTCAAAAGTAAGTCATTTGAAAGCCTAATCATCAATGCTTTTGTACAGGTTTAAGCTATGACTTAGTTCTCTGTTTTATGTTCTCATTTTCTCTACCCCTTACTAAAGTGGAGGCATGAAAACCCACTAAAGGAGGAAGCGCTAGACACTGTTTTCTTTAAAACGGTGAGCATTTTACAGTAACTACCGAAATAGAGGGAGAAGTCACCTGGTTTTTGAGAGCTTGGTTCAGAGTCCTGACTTTTCTGCGTCTTCAGCACTATCTGGGTGTTTGAACTCACTCCTTTGTCGAGCCCTGAAACATCTCTTTTGTTCCTTCTTTTGCTGTGTGGTATGGCAGCCACAGCTGCCCATGCCTGTTTGCATCCAATTAACTTCTAACTGAAGGCAGTTGGGAGTCTTCAGCGCATCAGCTGTGTTTCTAGCATTTCACAGCAAGGGGACCGGCATGACAGTGGTGGCCACCACCGTATTACAAAGTACAGGTAGAACATTTCCCAAAAGTCTGACTAGACGGTGCTGTACTGATGGGAATGATCATCTCACGGGCCAAGTGGAGTTGCCTATCTTAAAACAAAAAAAAAAAAGCTTTGCAGGTTCAAAGTCCATTCTTCTCTTGTCAGCCACAGAAAAGTAGACTTCAGGCTTTGGTTTTCCAGGCTCTGCTCTACACTATCCATTTGGGAGGCTCAGCATTCATTCTGTTCTGATTTACCTTTTTATGTGATGTCTTCTTTCTTTCTTACCTTCCAAGTGTTTGTTATTACATAACTAAATGTTTGTACCAGTTAACAGCTGAATGTTATGAACATGACATGACCAGCTGGGTTACAGTTTCCTTTTTTCAAGAAACCCTTGAAATTACTAGAGTTCTGTTTGGACAGTTTTATGTGAATTTGAGGCCACTTCTTCCTGTTTTAGGAGGACCATCAGCTCATACACACAAGCCAATGACCAGTACTTATCTCTGCTATGCGAGGTTCCAAAACCTGAGCTATGTGAGTTGCTACCAGTGGTTCTCAACCCGTGGGTCGCAACCCTTTTAAGACCATTGGAGGTATCAGCTATTTACCTTATGGCTCACAACAATAGCAAAATTAGTTATGAAGTAGCTACAATAATTTTGTGTTTAGGGGCACCATGGTATAAGGAATGTATTAAGGGTTTGCCGCCTTAGGAAGGTTGGGAGTCGCTGTTCTATAAAGATGCTGTTTACTCTGAGGTGCTCCTAGAGGGACCTCTGTGGCGGGGTTTCACAAGCCACAGTGAGACAGTCTGAGTTTAGTGAGGAGGAAGAGTCAGGTCAGGCAGCAAGAGCTGCGTGTCCCAGTAGCAGCTGTGGAAGTGACTGGAAGACTGCTGCACTGTTCAAAGGGGTGATCTAGAAGATGAGCTATAAGGGGAAGGTCATGCATGAGGAAGACAAAATACGCATCCCAATTTAAAAATTAAGTCGTTTTCTACACAAGAGGGGAAGACCCTGAGCATGGATCACTAACCTGACTAGTTGTGTCTGGAGTATTTTAAGGGAGTGTACTTTGTAGAGTTTCTTTGTCAGGAAGCCTATGGTCAGCAAGACATATCTAAGGTTGTCTTGAGGCTGAAGGATTTTTTTCCATGACCCATTTCCCCTTACCCTTTCTGTCTTTCTGCCCTGCCTCAACCACCCAACTTTAGCTATTTCTGTATAGCTATGTTATACTGAGATACATTACCGCTCAATAATACATGTAGTTCTTGGTAGAAAACACACATTTTAAGAGTGTTTTAACTTTGTGATCCTAAATAACTGTCAATTTTTTCAATGCTAGGATTTTGGATATTACTGCATCCTTAAATAAGGGCTCCATTGTTTGGCAAGAGGTTTTTGAAAATAGAGTGAAGGTAAGAACTGAAAACTCCATTTAGTGGGTCAGACTGCTTGCCGTACCAGCCTGAGGTCCAGAGTTCAATCCCTAGCACCTGCTTTAAAAGTTGGATGTTCCATCAGCTGTTGGGATGGATGGATGGAGGAGGAGGGCTGCAGACCTCCGTTCTTCACTGCTGAACTCTTTGCTACAGACAGACTCATGGAGAAGACCCTACCAGGCTCCAACAGATAGTGCCAGTCTAGCTGTCACCCAAAACCAAAACCAAAAGTCATCAGTCTGGGGGGAGGGGGTGGTAGGGATCAAGGGAAAAGACTAATCAGTACGCAGTATACACATATATACACATGCATGCATGGCCTCGTGTACCTGTAACCCAAACACTGTCAGGGGCTGGGACAAGAAGGGTGCTGGGACTTCTGCCTCCAGCACAGCTCTTGGTTCTCGAGGTACTTTGTCAGGGAATCCGGTGATTAGAGCAGGACAGCAGCCCTGCCCATGCCTTGGGTGCATGTTATAGTACAGAGACTCGAGGCTCCATTAGCGTGGACAACCCGCTGCTTCCTTCTCGTTTCTTCCCCCAACTCCTGCTGTTTCACAAGCTGAAGTATTTTGAATTAAGTTCCTTTTTGTTTTTAAGAGCAAAACAGACAAATGAGCTTTTTAAAATATGTTAAAGTGATATTAAAATAGGTAAAGTCAATATATACTTTTTGTGTTTCTGAGACAGGGTTTCTCTGTGTAGCCTTGGCTGCCCTGGACTCACTTTGTAGACAGGCTGGCCTTGAACTTACAGAGATCTGCCTGCCTCTGCCTCCCCGAGTTGCAGGGATTACAGGCAGGTGCCACTGCACATGGCTTAGTATATACCTTTAAGATAAGTATTTTTTGGCAGAATTATTAACAGTAGACTTACAAGCCCTGCTGCCAGTGTCACCTTTCTAGGGTGACAGTCCATGGTTCCAAGTTAAGTTGAACATTGGTGTGGTAGGAATGGGTCTAAGGTGCAAATCTTACCCTGAGCCTTTTAACTTTCTGAGGTATTAGCTATGAACAAAAGTTAAACAGCCAACTTTAAAGGTTGATAAATTTGAATAGCAACGAAAACTCCGTAAATGAATAGCACATGGCAGTGACCATTAGGAAAAAGAAAAAAGAATGTATGATTTTTCTTATATCTTAGAAATTTATGTTTACCAATCATAATTCCATACTTACGAGATTGGATTTAGTGGACCTAACACTGATTACAATCTGTACCTTCAATAGCTTCAGCCGAACACAGTAGTTGAAGTGTGGAAGAGTGAAGATTATTTAGAAATGCTAAACCAAGTCACAGCAAAAGGCTTCCCTGCAGTCCTTTCTGCTCCTTGGTACTTGGACCTGATTAGCTACGGGCAGGACTGGAGAAGGTACTACGCCGAAGAGCCTCTTAAATTTGATGGTGAGCAAAGCAAACATCATTGCTTCTAGTTTCTTCCATGACTTCTAGTCTCTCTTCCTAAATCTAACTTTTTGTGCCTTATCTTGATTTTATTGAAAACAAAACGTTGTTATCAGTTGTTATCACTTTAACTTCTGAAAGGAACAATGTATAGTCTAGGTGGAACACATAAGTAGACCCCTCGAATGTCACCTCTAGTTCACGAGGCTGCCTTTTACATCTCAGAGATGTCGCCTCCATGTCATGAGGCTGCTTTTTTATCTCAGGGATGGCTGAGTGTGTCTACTGTAGAAGACACCTAAGGTGACCATCTGCTTCTGGGGATTTTAGGCTGTGATGTCCTAGCTTTTCAGTCATTTTTATTAGCAATTCTATATAATTTATATAGTTTTTGTATATCAGTCTTTAGCTTAGAAAAAAAAATGAAGTTATGATTAAAAGTCTCAAAAATACTGCTCCACTGGAAATTATAACTTTCTCAAGAAAGCATTTTGAGGATCAAAAAGTAATTGTAAAAAGTAGTTCTTAGATGCCCTTTTCTGTTTTGTTATTAATTACCAAGGCATATAAATCAAAAATGGGTATAGTGGCCATAGCCCACTATAAAATGAAGCTAATATTCCAACCTGTATTTTCTAGCACACTACTAATAGGAAATGGGGCTGAACGTGGTGTGCACGAGTCTGTGCAGGACCATGAAGAGTGTGTATCCCTGGCTCCCAGCAGCCTTCTACTATGTTGACTGTCACTGAGCCAGGGTGGGAAAGGTTCCGTGCCTCCAGGAGGGTGTGGAGAGGGAGTGTAGGATGACTACAGAAAGGAAAGCAGTGTTGTACGGCTTAACCTTTCTCCTTCAACACTCTTAACGCAGGTTCTGAGAAGCAGAAACGTCTAGTCATTGGTGGAGAGGCTTGCCTATGGGGAGAATATGTGGATGCAACTAACCTTACTCCAAGGTTGTGGTAAGGAGTTAAAGGGATGAAGGATGCCTTGGCTTTTCTTCTCCATGCAAGTAGGAGAGCATTTAAGACCTCCCTTATTTAAGGGAAAAGAAGTGTAAACTGCTTTGGGAGACACACATTTTTAATTTCAGGCCTCGGGCAAGTGCCGTTGGTGAGAGACTGTGGAGTCCTAAAACTGTCACTGATCTACAGAACGCCTACAGCAGATTGGCAATACACCGCTGCAGAATGGTCAGGTGAGGGGCTTCCTCTCTGACCTAGGGTCTCTTATTAAAGAGCAGCATTCAGTGTAACTAGTTTCTTCAGCTTTTTTGTTTTGCAATAAGTAAAAAATGATACCTAGGAAGTATTTATTTAATTGGTAGAAATTGTGCATGCACTGTTGCAGGAGAGAGTAACACCTATAAGATATATTTTAGTATAATCGCCATCTTAAAAAAGTTAGTAGCTTAAACTAGAATTATTAAATCATCGCAAAGTCGGGGGGTGGGTTTGCTGAAGTGATGGGAACCACTATCTAAAACATCTTTTTTATGCTGTCTATTTACAGCCGTGGAATAGCTGCACAACCTCTTTTTACTGGACACTGTAACTGAGAATAAAATGGAAAAGTGACAGAAAACTCTACAGCATTCTGAACTATACTCATGTTGATTTTGAAATCATGTAAATTAAGATTTGTTAGGCTGTTTTTTAAACAAACCATCTTTTTATTGATTGAATCTCTATGTGTATCACACATGAATACTGGCATCTTCTATGTGAACAGCTTAAAAAATAAAAGGAAAAGCTTTGTGATACCACTCTGTATTCCTCATTGCAGTGGGTTAAGTGAGAAAATGCTGGGCTAGAAAGATGGCTCAACATTTAAGAGCACTTGCTACTGTTGCAGAGGAGCCAAGTTCAGTTCCTGAATCTACATGGTGGTTCATAACCGCACAGTTGCAGGGGGACTAACATCCACTTCTGACCCCCACAGGCCCCAGGCACACATGACACACAGATACACATGTAGGTAAAAAATGTAAAAAGACATTTTTAAATGCCCAGGCCCAGGCATTTGGACGTCTCCTTCCCAGTGGCTGGTACAATTTGGGGAGGGTCAGGCAGTGCAGACTTGCCTAGGTAGACTCCAAGAGTCACTCACTGCCTGGCCCTACTTGGAGTTTGCATTCTACTTTGTGCTTGAGATTCCTCAGGTTTGTGCTTTCTCAGCTTCCTGCTGCCCTGTTGTCCCTGCATTTATGGATTCCTTCAGAACCTCAGGCTAAACACAAGCCTTCCTTCATAAGTTGCCTTGATCAGGTTATCTCATCACAGCAACAGAGGAGTAAGCACCGGAGCACAGCCTCGCTGCATTTACAGCGGAGCACAGCCCACACAGTGTGACAATGGCAGCTCCCATGCCACTCTGTTACAGCTTGTCAAGTTCTTTCCATGTATGGGCTGAAGCAGTGGTGTACCAGCCAGTGAATAAAACAGCATTCTTACTGAGAATAAAGCAGTGACCCAGCATTACCCCTCTGCCGAGGACCTAAAGCACTTGGGACAAACCACTCCTCTGGTTGAGCAGAGTACTTTGGTCTTGAGGACTCATGGCTTGATAAGTAGACAGTTCTAAGGCAAAAGTAGCAGAGCCTGATGTCAGTGTTCGAAGCACAGTTGAATATCCCTAAAGAAAAGAATTTCAGTTTGTTACTGCACTGAATTTAAGCCTTACATTTCTTTATTTTTAAGATTTATTTATTTATTATGTATACAATGTGTGTTTGCATGTACACTGCATACCAGAAGAGGGCACCAGATTTCATTTTAGATGGTTGTGAGCCACCATGTGGTTGCTGGGACTTGAACTCATGACATCTTAACCATCTCTCCAGCCCCAACCTTACATTTCTTATCTTGTGGATTATCTTAGGCCACAGCACAAAAGGTGGGGATAAGCACCACCACCTCCAGGGAGAGCTTTTCAGAGAAAAAAGGAAATACTAGAGCAAACAGGAAAACTTAGCGCAGCATAGGTCAGCTGTGCATGCATTCTTAGGCCCAGCAATCGGGAATATGACTCTGTCCTTTCTCGTCTGTTGGGTACCCTTCATGTCTATCCTAGGAGAAGTGCCTGGTTGGGAAAGAGACTGATGCTGGCCTCAAAATGTACAGCAGAAAGGGAAATGTTCATGGAAAAGGGGAAACAGTCGTTCAGGCAGGCCACATTTTGGTACAGTACTCCATAATCTTTGTGGACCTATGGTTGGAAATAACCTGGCTGAAGTGCTGTGTTCCCTAGTGCTCACCCACACCTGACGGGAAAGTCCTATCATTCTTGGTGGTTAAAAATTTGGCACGAATCTCTAAACCCAAGCCCTGATGCCTGCAGGAGTTAGTGACCAACAGGTCTTACTTGGACTCAAGTTCCTGTAATAAATAATATGTACATTTCAAATGCAAAGAACTTACCATAGTTTCTGCCAGAGGAACAAACCCTATAACAACTTTGTTGTCTTGGCGAGTCTGAATTTCCTGAACATTCCCTCTTCTTTGTGCCAAATCTGCAAGGACAGGGCTGAGGTACTCGCTAGTCACTGTAACCTCAAGGCTCATCAGAGGCTCCAACACCTGCTTGTCAGCTTTCTTCAGGGCCTAAAGAGATTCCGTAAATTGAAGAAATTTCTATTCAAGTAAAAAGAAGATACACAAAGACTGAACTATTTCCTATGTTCTTGAGTAGAGGACGCTGGTTACCTCACTTGCTTTAACATTCCACAGAGACATTTTGTAAGGAGCCAAGAACTTAATGCTTACACTAGTGGTCACGTGCTGGAAAGAGCTTTTAAAAAGGCCAACAACAAAGTCAACTGCCATGGCAACTCTCTATGAACAAACCCTTTCTTGAATGATAGTTTATCATTTAGACTTCAAAGGCCACATAAGGAAGCTGAAGATATTTTCAAGATAAAATAATTGTTTGGGAAAAGCCAAAATTAAGAGGAAAATGCTACAATTGGGGGCTGGACTCTGCAACTCAAGAACAGTGCTCCAGAAACGCCCTGCATCCTTCTCAGTTTTCTGTACACTGTCTAATTGCAGATCTTCAAAATCAGCTTTTATGTGGCTTCCACAGCAATTCCCAGCCATCTCTGAAGGCTCCAGGCTCCACACTGGGTACTGGATACTGCTCTGGGCCTGTGTGTGGCCACTCTGCAGCTCCCCAGCGTGCTAACAAACCTCAGCATTTTCTTTTCCAAGTGCTTCTCGGGACTTTCTTAGTTGCCAGTAGCATTAGTAGTTTTCAGTGCATTTATATATACTTCTTCGTTTTCCTTCTTCCAGGAAACACCAGTATTTCTATGCCTATTGCTGGTATCCTGATTCAGACCTAGTCTACTCCCTGTCTGTCCTGGACTCTCTTTCCCGTGCCAATCACTTCTATACTCTGACCATACTTCACTCTTCAAACACTTTATTCTCCATGTTCTCGGAATAAAGTTCAAACTCCTTTCTATAGTGCTTAAAGGTTTCACTATTGACTTCATTTCCCCATGCTAAGCTAGGGTACTCCCACACTGGGAAACAAGCAGAGTTCATCAGTTCTGGTGGGTCACTGAGGCAGGAAGCAAGTCATGACAATTGATAATTTGAGGGGGAAGATGCTTAAGTCTGTATCTCAATGTTTGTTTTTATGAAAGCAAACGTACTTGAACAAACGAAAAAATTGGAAGTAATATTAGATTTTCATTATCCTTTACATTAAAGCCCAGTGTCAAGCTGACCCCAGATCTGTCCATTTAAATCCACCAGGTTTGGGGCTGGAGAGATGGCTCAGTAGTTAAGAGCACTGGCTGCTCTTCCAGAGGACTCGGTTTCAATTCCCAGCACCCACACGACAGCTCACAACTGTGTGTAAAGTTCCAGAGTTTCTGACGCCCTTGCACAGACATACATGCAAACAAAACACCATATGCACATAAAATAAAAAGAAATTATATATTTTTAAAAATCCATCAGGCTTGCAGCTCATGGCTGTATGTTTGGAAAGGGGAAAGGATGGATATTTTGCTAAAATCAGGATTTTTTTTTTAATTTGTTTATTTTATGTATATGAGTGTTCTATCTGCATTTACACCTTCCAGAAGAGGGAATCGGTTCACATTATAGATGGTTGTAAGCCACCATGTGGTTGCTGGGAATTGAACTCATGACCTTTGGAAATGCAGACAGTACTCTTAACCACTGAGCCATCTCTCCAGCCCCAGGACGTTTTTTAATAGCAATCTTTGACCAGTAATTTCTAAAATCTTTCACACGAAAACTTGGTTTAAGAAATCAAAGATTCCCAGTGCAAGCACTGGTTTACATTTTTGTATTACATTTGTGTGTAGTGAGCACCACAGTGCATACATGGAGGTCAGAGGACAACTTTCCAGAGTCAGGTTTCTCTACTACAGAATCAGGCTAGGTGGTACTTGCCTTACCCACTGAGCCATCCTGATGATCCCTTGGCGGCAAGAACCTCAGGTCAAGCCCTGTCAGCATAGCTGCCTGTGGAAACTATGGCGTTGCACTTGGTGTATTTCCTTAACACAGGCATGAAGGCTGCTCATACCTTTTGTACACATCTTGAGATACAGGCATGAAGCATGGTTGTAGAGGTGCCAGGGTGAACCACCAATGAGTGTAGTATTACTGCCACATCTTGAACTGGGGATCCAAGTAAAGGTCCTGAGCAAGTGAGAAAATACAGCACAATAATTTAAACAATTCAATAAAAAGAATAGCACAACAAAAATAGAACTGATGTACAAAGAAGTGCAGAGCTAGCATTAAGATGGCCGTGAGACATGCGAGAATCCGGAGGCCAGGAGTGTACCGCGGAGGCAGAACATATGCTGGTGTGCACAAACACTGGTCAGATTACAGCATGAGGCGGAAAAGAAGGGTTAAACAGCCAAGGGGAGCGTGTGCTCCCGTGTGCATCCCTCACCCTGGAGGCATGCGCTGTGGACTGCGTTTTCAATGGCCTCGCGGGAAGCCTGCAGCAGGTCTGCACCGACACAGTCAGCATACTCGATCCTAGCCACGCCACATGGCGCTTCCGCTGGCAGGACCTCTAGTTCTGCTTTCACGAAATGCCGCTTGTCTCCTACTGTCCTGTCTAGGGTATCTGAAAACACATTGAAACAAATGAAAAATAAGGAGGTGGCTGCAGACAATACTCAATTTTTGGCCAAGAAAATGAAGGAAGAGAGAGATGCCAAAAAGATGCCAGGAACAAACTGCCAAGGGATGTAGGCTGCCTTTGCTGAGACCACCTGTTTCTATGTCCGAGTTTTCTATGTCCAAAAATGAGTCTTTAAGAGTATCAAATAAATGCATTCCTTGCAAGGAAAAAGGTAACATTCAAATTACAAAACATCTGGAGAATGTAAAACACTGATAATGAAAACTATAACAACTTGATCCTCTGCCAATTTCCAAATTGTTAAGTTCATGTATTCTTTCAGCAATACTTAATGTTTCCTTCTCAAAAAACTAGGAAAGTAGTTCTTACACTACAGCAAACAGCTTTCCTTTTCTCTACTTTCTTTTTAAGTGCTATGGACTGAGCCCAGAGGCCTTGCTCTACCACTGACTATGTAGCTGGGCTCCTACTGCTGGGTGAGTTCTTTCTTCCACCCTTCTCTACCCCTTTCTTCTACCTTTCAACCTCCTACCACTACATAAGAAAGAAAGAGGAGAGAGGAAAGAAAGAGCTCCCTGAATGAAGTCAGGGGTTGGAAACAGGGCTACATTATCGTTAGGC